AGAATACCTGACACCCACACCTTAAAGGGGGGGTGTGGCTCACATTTCAGTCCAAGGTCAGCCAGCTCCCAAGAAGAAACAGCATGGCAGAGGCACATGGTGGAGGAGAAGGTGCTTCAGCTCATGCATCCAGGAGACAGGGAAGGAACTGGGGAGTAAGACCCACCCTTTGAGGCCATGCCTCCAGTGACCCACCTCTTCCTACCAGACCCCGCCTTCTAACAGCAAGTCAGATATGATCCCCATAATCCAGTCGCCTTCCAAAAGCCCCACCTATGGGAGTGCATGAAGCTTTGCGGGGACATCTAGGTCTAAACCATAAAAAAAAAGCTGACTTCTAATCTCCTTCCAGATTTCTTGAAATCTTTTGTTCCACCCTTTCCTCCAGAAATCCTCTTAGGCCCTTCTGGAAATGACTATCATGAAGATGCTGGTAGAAGAAGAAAACAGCGTTCAGCAGACTGCTGAGTCTACACAGTGGGGTTTATCTTGTCCACCTTGGATCTTTTAAATAAAGCCTTAGAGAAACACCATGCCCACACTTAACAAATACAGTAGAAAACCACATGATTATCTTTTAAAAGCATTTGAGAAAATGTAATACCTTTTTTTTCTGATTTTTAAAGAAACTGTCAATACAGTAGGTCTGGAAGGGTTGGAACTGCCTTGCCTTGTTAAACTGTCGGACTGTAACTATGCCGAGTTGAGAACAAACCTTCAGGTGTGAAGCATTAAATGCATTTTCTGTTGAAGTCTAGGGCAAAGGATCACTAGTCCTCTAACCCTTCAGTGTCTTCGAGAGCCTAGTTAATGCAGTGAGACTGAACTGTTTAAAATGAAAGTAGGAATTATAAGCATTCAGAAGAAGCCACAACTGTCCCTAGAGGCAGAAGATTATAGTTGCCCTCAAAGTACCTATGACTTTCATACAGTCTTATGTCAAAACCCCCATGAGAAGAAATATATTCTGCAATTCCTCTAAAAAAGACATTTTCTGAAAAGAACAAGGAAGACAGAACTTGCCTTAGCAAATATACAACCGTACTAATATTATAGTAAAAAGTTTGAGAAACCTTAAGCAATGCCCCTTGGTTATGCTATATACAAAAATAAATACCAAGTGACTCAAAACTCTGATAATATAAGCCAGTAGTGCTGAACCTATGGCATACATGCTGCAACGAGCTGTTTGTTATCATTGAAAGCTCTAAAAGCTTCACCATCATGGATATAAACTATTTACAGTTGTGTTAGAGAAAAAAAATATATATATATCAGTGTGTGTATAGGTATTATATATATAAAATATGATTTGGGATAAAGTATGAACTAGAAGCCATAAAAGAAAAATTTTCAGTGTATCATTACACTGCAATATAAACTATCTCATAATGTGAAATAGGAAGAAAAGGGGCAAAGGGGAGGGGGAAGTGGGAGGTGTAGGGGAAAGGAAAGAAGGGGATGGAATTAATATGAGAAAATGAAAAAATGGAAAAGTCTTTGTACATAGGGAGGGATGGAGGGGTTGAAGGGAGGGCAGGGGAAGGGGGAAAAAATAAGAACCAAGAGAGTATGTAAAGGTGCATATCTCCAATGATGAATGTCATTATATTGTACACCTAAAATGTACCAATAAAAGGATATACAATAAATAAATAAATTAACTATCTCAGCAGTGAAAAACTATTAGCAAAGCTAGAATGTAGAATAGCACGGAAGAAAATATTTGTTACAGATAAAACGGATAAGAAGATTATATTCATGGACTATAAAGGATTCTTACAAATGACCAAACAAAACCCACATTTTAAAGGGCAAAAAATGCGAAGGTATGGTTTATAGAGATTAAATTAATACCCAATAAACGTGTAAGATGGTGTCACTAGTACCCAAAGAAATGCAAATAAATAGTGATATGATGTTTGTCAGATTGGCAGTATTTTAAAACTTAGTACTGAGGAACTGTGTGCTATCATATATGTTGGTTCAAGTATGAATAAATATGACATTTTTGGAGCACAATTTGGCAGTGCATTTAGAAATATAAAAATGTACATCCCTTTTGTGTGAGCAGTTCCACTTCTGGGAATCTCTTCTACAAAAATATATACATTAGGGCCGGGGATATAGCTCAGTGGTTCCACCACCTGCCTTGCCAGTGCAAGGTCCCAAGTTCGATTCCCAGTACCAAAAAAAAAAAAAAAAGAATAGAAAAATATATACATTAAAAATCCACCTGTGGAGAAATGATCACATAAGTTATTATATCCACACTATACAGTATTACTCATCATTTAAAAAGTAGCTATTTGTACTAATGTGGGAAATTGCATAGTGTATGTTGATCTGTTGAAAAAGTAGTTTAAGATATAATGGGTAATATAATCCCATTTCAATTACATCATTTATGTGTAAAGTCCTAGGCATGAGAGGCTCTCACCGAACCTTTGAGGGGGCTCATCTCTGGGAGGAAAAGTGGGAAGGGCTGATTGGAGATGAAGAAGTAGCAAGAAGTCGGACTCTTGCTGACTTGACACATTGCTGCATTTGCTGAAATTTGCATTTTTTATAATTTTAAAAGTTAATGTAATGAGGCACTCTTCAGTTGACAACTTTTCTATTAAACTTTTTTAAATCCCTAAAATGAAAAAGAAAGGTCCCTCTCCTCATGACCTAATGGCACTGGTGACATTTTGGAATAAAGGAGAAAAAAATGAGTCCAGCAGAGTTAATTTAATGGGAAATATGGATAAATAAGATGACAGGAAAGGCTCTAAGGGGAAAAGGGGCCTGGCTGGGTTTTTCACTACATAGCCATTTGCTGTTTGACACGGGGGAAGCCATTTACCTGGGCTGTGGTCCAGGGAGCTTTTCTCCATTCTGCAGGTAGAGCTGACCTACTTCCTTTGGAGGAAAGGGCTAGAGGGAAAGGATGCAGAGAGAGGCTCTGCCTACCTGGAAAATGTTATTGTTAGAATGACCGCAAATGAACGCCAGAGACCAGTATCTTACAAAGCCACCCCAAAATGAGGACTGCTCTTTGTAGAAGCGGGGCATTGAAGTAGGCACCATGGCAAGGGCTTGGATGGGAGAAAAATTGATGAAATATGAAAGACTCTGTGGTGTGATACAACGTGTGTGTGTGTGTGTGTGCGTGCGTGCGCATGCTTAAGAACATTTAATACAGCATAATAAACAAAATCCTCAAGTGTTAAAGGGGAACTTGAAGTAACTTAGGGCAGTTGGATTTGAAATGCTTTGAGACGGTGGGAGAAGGGTGCTCGTGCCTGTAGGGTGGTGTTGGGGTTTGTACTGATAGGCTATTTGGGTAGTTTTGTTATTAAATATAAGGAGAGGACTGGGGATTTAGCTCAGTGGTTTCGCCACCTGCTGCGCAAGTGTAAGGACTGGAGTTCGATCCCCGGTACCAAAAAAATAAAATAAATATAAGGAGAGTTTTCAAAAGGGAAATAAAATTAGTGCACAACTGAGATGTGGTTTGTTTTCTGAGGCAATGTCAAGAGGCACAAGATCAAATCCAGCCTGACACTGCCCAGTACAGAGCTCAGCAGTCTCTAGAAGCTGGAGCTTGGCTAATGAGAAACCTCCATGCTCTCCCAGCGCCTCAGGCAAACATCTCTTCCTCTTTGGCAAACAAGATGCCAAGAGACCTCAAAGCAGAGTGGGGACCTAAAAGGTCACCTAGATCATTCATTCTGCAAGCTTCCCGCCAAGCCTTTCCAGAAAACAGATGAGCAGAGTTTCACAGTTTTGCTAGAATCCAAGCCAATGGCTTCATGCTTCAACCCAGGGAGGGTAGGTGTTAATGAAACCTAAAGGACACTTCCCACATTGACCTGCCGCTGGCAGTGAGGACAAACAAGAGATGGAACAGACACAGCCAAGCTGTATCCTCTCATTTATTCTCCGGGTGTGAAAGGAGTAATTGTAAACTTCAGACAAAACTAGAAATGAAGAGTCAGAGTTCCCAGCATAAACATTTCGGTCTGTTAAGTTTACTTTCACCAATAGGATGTATTCAGAAACACAGTAAACTCATTGTTCTATAGGTGTTTGTGCATTTCTGTGGTTTAGCCCTTTGAACCCTGCAGGGGAAGTACAGGTGTCTCCATTTTGTCCTTTTCCAGTCTGTGAATTTTTTGAACTTCTCCCCTCCTCACCGTCTCCACTGCCGCTCTTCATGTGTGCGTGGTTTATCACAACAACCCGCATCTGATCTGTCTCCAGCCAAGCCCATTTCAGTTCATTCATTGCATTGCTTGAATCTTTTTTTCCAAACTTCAGCTCTTTGTTACTCTACCGCTCAGAATCCACCAGTGTAATTTAGGGCCTCACTGCTCCCTTGTTGGGGGCCACATCTGCACTTTCACTCCTCCCTACGCCATCTTGTCTTATGATTCAGCATTCCAGCTACTGAAGACTATTTGTGGTTCCTCAAAAATGCACACCTCTTCTTGTCTTAGTGGCTGGAATATCTTCTTTGGTAATGTATCTGTGTCAAGATGCAGCTATAGCAAGCATCACCTCTAAGTATGCTTCTCTAAGAGACTGACATCCATCCGGGTGCCTGCATTTTATCCTAACTAATAATTGGTCTATCTTCACAACTGTCTTGGGAAATACCTTAAAGATCAAAACCAAGTGGTTCTGTGCATTGCATCTTGCATCACCCCTGACACACAGCTGGTGCTTCTTGAGTGTGTGATAGGAAAGAATGAATTCATATTTTTAAACAGCTTTTCCCCCCTCAATTTGTGAACATGTGTACATGGGTCACTGTTTTGCCTACTATGAGACAAGGAAAGTCATATTCAGCCTCTGTGTTCTCAGGAACTTGGTGAAGGAGAATAAAACAAATAGTGATGGGGTTATATATAAATTAAAGACTTTTGCCACTTATCTTGCAGCGCCATTAAGAAAGAGGCTGTCTAGTGCATCTGCCTAGAGTGTGCCTGAATTAAACTCTTACGCTGTTCCAGGTCAGCTGTTGCCAGCAAACCGCAATACACCAAGTCCCATTGATCCTGACACCATCCAGGTCCCGGTGGGTTATGAGCCAGATCCAGCAGACCTTGCCCTCTCCAGCATCCCAGGCCAGGAAATGTTTGACCCTCGCAAACGAAAGTTCTCCGAGGAAGAACTGAAGCCACAGCCTATGATTAAGAAAGCTCGAAAAGTCTTCATTCCCGATGATCTGAAGGTAAATTGGAACTGGTAATCAGGCTTTGGGCACATGGACAATGGGATTAAGAGGAAAATTAAAGGTGACCCCAGGAAGATTATGTACAGTGATCAAAAAATACAGTAGATATTTAAATTTTTAGAGAATTCATTACAGTAAAAAAAAAAAAAGCACATTGCCATTAACCTCCCTCTAAAGATTCTTCCTTGTGAGGGCTAGGAATGGGAAAAAAATAAGAACCAAGATGCGTTATGTAAAGGTACAATTCCCAATGAGAAATGTAATTGTGTTGTATACCTACAATGTACCAATAAAAGAATTTAATAAAAAAAATTTAAAAAAATAAAAAGAAAGATTTTTTAGGGTTCTGTTTATAAGAAAATCTCCCAAAATAGCATAAAAAAAAAAAGATTCTCCCTTGCTTCAAACACACTCATTCCATTGTTCTTGCCAATTTCTGAAGCAGGTCTGGAAGTCCTTTGGTGTGAGTGTCTTTAATTACACTGTTGTAGCTGCCTTGATGTCCTGAATCGATTCAAAATGTTTACTTTTCATGGTCATTTTGACTTTGGGGAAAAGCTGGAAGTCACACAGCATCAGATCTGTAAATAACGTGGATGAGGACATACTGTGATGTTTTTACAAGCCTGCCTTCCATTGGATGACACTCAGCAGCAGCATTCACCAATTTTTGATCATGCTTTGTAAAGAAACAAAAGAGGACTTCCAGAACTAAGTGGCAAGAACTATAAGATAAGTGTGTTCAAATTGGGGGAGGGTATTTTGAGGAGGGTTAATAGCAATGTGCCTTTTCCTGTAATAAATTTTTAAAATTTAAATAGTCACCATAAATTTTGATTACTCCTTGTAAATTAACATGTGAAGTACTCATGATTTCTGATCCTGACTGGTATGTGACTCTTTAGCATGTTACTTTCCTCTCTGGGCATCTTCTGAAATAATGCTTTCATTATTTGCTACTAAACAGAGATAAGGAAAAGCAATAAAACGTCAGAGGGATGGTGAGCCTGTGAAGGAAACAGTCTTACTTCCATCTTCAAGGAAATCCATAAAATATAACCCATATATCAAACCAAAATCTTTCACTGTTAGAAAGAGAAGAAAATTATTTAAGAAAGGCACCTGGATCTCATAGTCCTCCAAGGATTACCTTCCTTTTGGAAGGAATAACAACCAGAATCAGGGAATAACAATAACAATCAGGAAATAGCAACCAGAAATGGAACCTCCTGCCACATGGGCAATCTCGGGTGACCAGGGTGGGATAATGAGAGGGAAGTGATGGATTCCCTGACACATTATATGTTACGTTCATAACTAGTGATCAATTGAGTATCTCAACAGAGAGTTAATTTTGGGTTGGAAACGGTACTATGTTGAAGGGGACACATTATTTATAAAGGGAGAGAGATTTACCTTAGGAAGTCCAATATAGCTTAAAACAAAATTAATCTGCCATATTTTATGATATTTCAGGATTAAAATTTTTTCCAAAATGATGCCACATCCACTAATACCAACAGAACCATTTTTGATTAGCTACTTCATAGACCTTTTTGTATTTACATGTCTTTCCAGGCATAAAGACAATGGAAGTATGATTATACATTTTCAAGGCATTGGAACAAGACATAATTAGCCTTTTCTAAAGTTTGACCCCTACTCTCAAACTTAAACATGGTTCACATGTAGAGAGACTCCAAGGTAGGGAAAATGAGACTTTGGGACACCGAACTGACTTAGACCAGGTTCTGTTGCTTCTCATGTCTAGAAAGAACACCAGAGATAGAAGTACCTGGCAGATCTAAATCACTGCGGTCATGCACATATCTGAAAGTACCTTCATTGATGCAGAATAGGGAAATTTCAGGGAGGACAAGAACCTTAGAGATTCATTAGTCCAGTGTTATCCCTTTGCAGTTGAGAAAGAGGAAAGGGAAACTCAGATGAACTCTGCCTTGGAAAGTTCACTGCAGCACGTTAGCCCTGACAAGGACTACAGCAGGGCCTTTAATAACTGCCGCTGAGGATCAAGAAAGGAAAGTGTATGGCAAAGACATCAGAAGATACAATCTATTTGGGTCATGGATGGTTGGACTCCACAGGCTAAGACCAGGGTGACATGGGATTAGGTGTAGGGATCAGAGGTACCTTCTTTCAGTTGGGTGCCTATCATGATCTTATGTCTTTAGTGATCCAATTCTGTGTGCATTTCAGAGTCTCATCTCTTAAACAAACTAGGGAGCCCATTCAGGATGGATTTCGTCTTGGTTGGAGGTTAGTTTGAAAGAATGCTGCCGAGTAGTAGATAGAACTTCCAACCAGATTTTCACAGTATCCTAATTTACATGCTCAAACAAAGAGCAAGACAGGTAATGTTAGCAACAAAGAGGCGGTTCAAAACCATCTGTGGTGGAATTACACATATTACTGCCGTCATGGCTGTGTCTGACCTTTTCATATGGTACTTTCCTGTGCTCCTGGGGTTTTTTCCCAGGTGTGGGTGAACCTTCAAGTCACAGACCATGACCTGGTGGGAAACAGGAAGAGCTGTCACATGTCAGTAGAGAGGACTGATCTGGGGTGGGTGGGAGAGAGGTGTTTATGGCCCCAGGCACTGGACAATGAGCAAACCAATTGAGTAGAATCGCATCCACCAAAAATGGTGGATCAGGGAGAGCACACTCAGGTTCCTAACTAAAAATCAGTTTTGTTACCTGAATTTCTTGATACTTTTAAGAGTCCATTCATTCAGTGGACAGATATTTTTCAAATGCTAGAGTATGCCGAGCCCCATGTCAGGCTAGAGATACCAAGGTGAGCCAACACCCAACGTTTTTCCTGGCCTCGTGGAAGCTCTAGTCTGGCCAGCAATCCGAAATGTCGACCTGTTGGAATAGGGTATGGCTGCGTGGGTTCTGGTTGGATGAGAGTAGCTGCGTAGCCAGATGGCATTAGCACCTGGGAGGTGGAAAAGGAGACAGATGTAGCACCAAATTTACCAGCCCCACTCAAAACCCTATTTCTATGCCCAGCCATTCTGTGATGACAAAATGAGACAAACTGGTTTTTCTACGCAGGACTCTGCCTCTTCCATCTTTCCTGCCTCTGTGTCCTTTGTTCCACCCCTGTTCCATATTCCCTTTGGTCTCCATTCCACCCTTTTGCTAGCTCATCTGCTGGGAAATGAAAGCACTTTGGAAGTAAGAAGAACTCTAGGCAAGATGCAGAATTTGGTTGTTACCTTGAGGTCAGCTGGTGAGTCCTGGTCCTGAGGATCTGGTCAGTATGGTCACAGGCCACCAAGCCCATGGCCTATAGCAGTACCTCTGTCCATCCCTCCCTGCCACACAGTTTACAGGGGCTTGTTCTCATGTGCTCGCTCAGCACCTGCCTTCCTGTTCTCCTGTATGCAGCTTCTAATACATCCTGAGTTAGTTCCTCTTTGGATTCCTCTTGGAAACCGAACTCCTAGGCTCATTGACTAGTGTGGTGGATTTACTGACACTGAAGGGTATGGAATGGGGCTTACATCCAAGTGATACAAACAACCTCCATCAGAATTGGTGCTTCGCTGTACTGAGTATGCCTTTGGGCCCCTTGGCCCTGTGATGTCATTGGCTCTCCTGGCTCCTCCCAGTCCTTCTCCTATTCCTCCAGCTCCCCTACTGTCTTTCAGGAGGCAAACAACAAATTCCACCACCAGCCCTTGCATACGTGTACAGGCTTGTTCATTCTGGTACTCTTCAAAGGACAACCTCCTCCCTGAGAAGAATCATGGTGCCAACTACTAGGAAGATCATTTTTCACCCTATTACATATTAGTTTGAAGCAAAACAAAGGCCAGGGGTGCTTTACAAACAAAATGACACTACCAACTTGTGACCAGCACACAGGAAGTCCCTACGCACACGTTCCATCTCACAGTCTGTCTTCATGCAGGGCAAATATCTACTGAGGGAAATGAGTGGGTCCAGGGCAGACCACTCATGTTAGATTTTTCCTGCAGCCTTGATCCCACCCCACATGACCTCCTCCACTGCCAACACCTCCCCTTGGGATGCTGGGGAAGGTAAGGACTGGCCTCACACACATCTTCTGGGTAGCATGTAACTGCATAGGGATTCGCTTTGCTAGGATGGAGGGATATGGTGTTGGAAGTTGTTGAGGAAAGGAAGTTGCAGACTTCATCAGGTAACACCGTCAGTGAAATGGGCAGATCTAAAAGAAAGTGCATTCCTTAGTAAGGAAGGTTTTCTTTCTTTTGGTGGTAGTGGGGCCAACAATGAGGGAAAAGGAAGGATTGCTTTCATAATGACCACAGTTAACCTTTACCCAGGGCAACTGAGACCTAGAGAATAGTTAAGCAAGAAATTAGTGGAAATCATGTAAATGCTAGTCACTGATATGAGTACACTGATTAGTGACAGATTGGAGGGTTTTTTAAATTTTTGTTTTCAACAATCAACATGTACATTCCATTGTGTGATATTCTTCTGGTCAGACAGATACAAGAGGTGAAAGATCCTACTTCTCTCCTTTGTCTCTCTTCTGAGCCTCCCCTGCAGAGGCATGATTTTGATAGCTTGGTATAAATCAGTGGTGGCGAACTTATGGCACACATGCCACAGCTGTTTGTTGTCACTGAAAGCTCTAAAAGGTTTGCTGTCACTGGTACAAATCTTTCTGAATCTCTTTTTATGAATATATTACAAGTTTTTAAGCAAACTGGGATGAAACCAAACATATTTACCAACAGATTGCCGTTGTTTCCACTTACATTGTGATATATCATGCACATCTTTATGGTTCAGTAGGGTAATTATCTTTAACAGCTGTAGAGTATCCCTTTGTGTGACTCTATCCAAATGATAGATACATACAGATAATTAGCTTTTCTCCCATGTTTTTCTTTTACAAACAATGCTACAGTAAAAACCTTGTGCACTGTGCATTGGCTCAAAGAAGCTACAGGCTGAAATCCTAGCAGGGTAGTTACTAGATCAATAGAGTACATATTAAAATGGTTGAGAGATATTGCCAAGTTGCCTTCCAAAAATATTGTACCAACTTACACCAGAAAAGCAGATGAGTACCCATGGAAGAAAAGAAGGTTCTAAAATTTTTAGCCAAGCTAGTAAAGAAAGTTGGAATGTGCTTCTGGGTATGAGGTGAGCTGCTTGCTCTCCTTCCAGCTCTGATCTCCACCTCATTGGGCACAAGCCATGCTGGGCATAGCAAGGGGCCCGCTGTGACAGGTCGGTCCTTGCTCCAGGAAGGAAGCCATGGCTCATGGACCATTTGCTCAGACAGGCAGAAGCTAATGGAAGGAGACAGGGGTTCTGAACCTGGGCAGGCATCTCAGTGTGGCCTTAAAGGCTGCCCGTACCCAGGTGAAACTGCACTGCTGAAATCTAATACCTTGTTTCTTTACCCTTCTGTGACTCATGAGCAGGATGACAAGTACTGGGCGAGGCGCAGAAAGAACAACATGGCAGCCAAGCGCTCCCGAGATGCCCGGAGGCTGAAGGAGAACCAGATCGCCATCAGGGCCTCATTCCTGGAGAAGGAGAACTCAGCCCTCCGCCAGGAGGTGGCTGACTTGAGGAAGGAGCTGGGCAAATGCAAGAACATACTGGCCAAGTACGAGGCCAGGCATGGGCCTCTGTAGGCTGGCACTGTGGACTGGCATTGGGATAGGTGGACAGCTTGTTTCCTGTCTGATAGCACCACACCCAGACCAACCTTGCTGACATCCGCACTTTACCAGAGGCATAAACGCAACTGACTCCCACTTTAGTGTGCGTGTGTGTGCGTGTGTGTGTGTGTGTACACATATGCTTGTGCTCCTGTGGTCAGCTGTGTGTGTGCGCACGTGTGCGCGTGCGTGTCCCTTTGCACTTGCCATTTTGAGATAGCCCTCTCATCATCTTTTAATCCCCAGAAAGAAAGGTGCCATGTTTTTACTAGACTCTGGAGACCCCCATGGGTTTTCCACTCCTGCCCTCCTCCACCCCTGCCCTTTGTTTTCCTGCTCGCCTGCTCTTCTGGGCGCTGCTGGGCATCACTAGGAAGGGCCCTGGGAAAAGAGTGGATCTCAGTCTTGAGAGTGCAAGGTCTTGTTTTTGTTTAACCCATACGTTACCATGCTAATGAGGTGCACAGAATAATTTAGCACTATACTGCAGGTCTGCTCATTTATAGGTTGCTTTCCTCCTTTTTTCCATTTTGGTGATAATTGTCTTCAAATTTAAAGTGCTGTTTAGATTTATTGGATCCCATATTTACTTACTGCTACTTACTAAGTTTCCTTTTAATTCCACCAACCCCAGATAAGTACGAGTACTATTATAGAACACAGAGTGTGTTTTGCACTGTCTGTACCTAAAGCAATAATCCTATTGTACGCTAGAGCATGCTGCCTGAGTATTACTAGTGGACGTAGGATATTTTCCCTACCTAAGGATCTCACTGTCTTTTAAAACACAAAAATTAAAGTAATCCATCTGAGCATGATCAGAATATCCCCAGGACAGGGAAGCAGAGGGGAATGAGAGGTCTAAGACCGAGGAGTTAATTTATCAGTACATGAGCCAAAAAACCATGTCTTGGAGTAGTCTTTGGTCTGTTTGGTTTTGTTGTCTCCCCTCCCCCACACCCACCCCACTTCCACTTTTCTAGTTAGCTTTTTCCATATTCCTCTCAATATTCAAAAATTACTTAAGATTCAGTTTCGTCATTTTTTGTAATATATATATATTTTTTTGTGAATTACACTTGGCTGTTTTTGAAAGTCAGTTAAGTTCATAACTTGATGTTTTGTAAGACCCTTTCTCCCTGCGGTATTATTTTTGAATGAATGCCTCGTAAATTAATGATTCTGGAGCTTATGTTTCTTATTCTCTCTTTGCTTTGGAAAGTGTGTGCTCTTAGAAAGTGGACTTCTGGAAAATGAATGTAAAAGACACTGGTGTATCTCAGAAGGGGTGGGTTGCACAAGCTGTCCTGCATCCAATCAATTTAAATGTTTACTATAGGCCAAAAGGAGAGATTGTTAAATTGTTTAATGTTTATACAGAATAATTATAGGAAGTTCTTTTTGTACAGTATTTTTCAGATATAAATACTGACAATGTATTTTGGAAGACATATATTATATATAGAAAAGAGAAAAAGGAAAAACTATTCCATGTTTTAAAATTATATAGCAAAGATATATATTCACCAATGTTGTACAGAGAAGAAGCGCATGGGGGTTTTGAGTCTTTAATATTTTAAGGCTATTACTGACACATCGGCATGTTTTCTGCTTTAAATTAAAATTTTATGACAGTATTGAGGCTCGCTGTGACGAATCCTGCTCCGACGCTTTCTTATTTCTTATTAGGTCTCAGAAAGGAGTCAGTTAACATCACTCAAAAGCACAAAATGGATTTTAGTCAAATATTTATTGGATGATACAATGTTTTTAGGAAAAGCATCTGCCACAAAATGTTCACTTCAAAATTCTGAGTTTCTGGGCTGGAGCGTGGCTGTCAGTGCCCCAAAGGACTTTGTTCTCTTCCATGGACCGCTGCGTCTGACGCAGTCTAAGGCTGACGTTGGTGCTACCTGTATGGTTTATAATTTGATGGATGTTTTGACTTTAAAGGTGAATGTTCTTTGGTTTCACAAAGTTGTGTAATGTCAAGAAATTCTGTTGTTACTGCCAAGAAGCATTTTGTGCTAGATTAAAATCCCCTTCCATCAATAGGAGTTTTCTAGTTTCCTGCCTCCAGAGTATCTTAATTCTTTAATGATCTGGTGGTCTCCTTGCCAGTCCATCAGCAATGTTTCTTTCTTGTGTCATGGTTTTGGGAAATGTGACCAGTAAGATATTCCTATTAGCAGCTCATTTTGTTGTGAGATACAGATAATGGCACAAGATGAGGGAATATTGGAATTGAAATACATTATTCAGGTACATAACTAATACAATAAACAAAATCTTTGGAAATCGTATGTAGAACTGAATAAGAGATTTTCAGTAAGTGCCATTAGTAGTCATAGAGTTGGCCTCTTTATAGATGAAGGGGCTAATTGCAGAATAGTTTGAAAAGACAAATTGTACATTAAACAAAGGCCAATTATATCTTTAAGTGGAGAAACATTGAAGAATTATAATGTGGACCATCCAAATTTATGGAGTTATCAAATGGTAGCTGAAAATAAGCATATTTGTGTACTGATCTTTCGTGGAATTAAGTTGTTTGCATCAAATAAACATTGCAAATGTTTTCCACAGAAGAAATAAAAAAGATCATAATATAACTTCTTATTTTGTGTACCAGAAAAGGTTTCAAAAACCTACCTCGTCTTAAAAAAAGTAAACACTTTGGAGTCTGTACAGGTGCCTTATATGTAGGTCATTGTAAACACACACACACACACACACTCCAGGATTAGCTGCCTGTCTGCCCAAGGCACTTAGGGAATAAGGCAGTTCTGTAAACTGGAGTGGGAAGCCATAGTCTGATTGGTAGCGACTTGGGTCCCGGGGTCAGTGAGTGCCTGCAAAATGCACCTATGAGGACAGTCCTGTTGTCATTTTTCACCCTTTCTTCCCAAGTGTCTTTCAGAGATTAATTAGTTGGCCATTAAAAATGAATCCAAGCCGATCATGCCAACATCATTTAGACAGTGTGGAATGAGCAGCGTAGGACTTCTAGATAAGGTCACATCATCTTTTGATTAAATTTGCAAAGGTAAAAAAATGAATCTTTCTGCTCGTGCTATCTTGAGGGGATGGGTGGCTGTAGGAGGGTTGTAAGCGATCACATCTTCCTCTAGAGAATGTGGCCACTTTGGATCATTTAGAAACACATCGAGCAAGACTGTGACCAGGCTTGGTCTCTGAACACAGCACAGGTCTCTGTGGAGTCACCCCTCAAAGCGGGACTGTTTGTTTGAAGAGAGTACGGATGGGTTTCTGACCCTGAGTGTGTAGAAGCCGTATAAGATTCCCCAGAGGTTTCTTCTAACCACTGATTCTATGTGGGAGCTCACAGTAGTTCTAAATGTACATTCAAAAGGTCTGTCATCTGTTTTCAGAATAGTCAATGAGAAAGTTAAGGGGCACTCTCTCCTCTGCCCCAGGGTGAAACAACAGACTTTCTGTAAAATGCCAAGTTAGTCTTTGGCTTTTCTAGTAGTTCATCTAATTTGCCCCTCATAGCCCTTTGATAAAAACTCACACTTTGTCGTACTTAATTAGTGAGCTCCCAAAGCATTGGCCTGCTGGGCTGGGTGGCCACTGGAGCCCTGGAATCAACATGGGCTCAGTCCCTGCAGGTGACTGAAGTGGGTGTTCTGGCCTCCGAGTGGTAAACATTCTCTGCTCAGTGTGTTCACTTCCTGCTGAAGGCTCCTAGGTCCCCTCACTGATGAGGCGAAGTTATTCTTTAGGCGTTTGCTGAAAGTAATACTTAAAAATGAGCAAAACTTTGTCCTAGGTCTTGAAGAATTGGATTTAGCAACTTCCTTCAATGCATTTTTCAGGAGGTGAAGTATATACAGGGGAGTGTGTGTGCATGTGTGTATGACAATTTGAAGACATAAAATACTTAATTTTTGACCACCTTACCAAACAATAACCTGTTATCCTTTTGGCAACACCACGAAGATCGCATCTGTTAAACAGGTACAAGAATACATGAGGTTAGTTTAATTACACACCATAGTATTGGTGGTATTTATACTGTTAAGTTCAAGTCTTTATTTGTCTGTTGTTCTTAATGTTTAATAAATTTTGAATTTTTTCCTTTCTTTCATGTATTTTTATTAACAGTTGACTGGCAATCAGATTCTGTTCCCACCACCATAGCCAAGAGGCTATTTATAGAGATTAATTACATAGATGATAAAATGCTAATTCTATGTAATTAATAACAAATTAAAGTTTTGAGTAACTTATGTGCCAGACATCGTACTGTACACATGAGGTATTTGATTTAATCTCAAATGAATGCTGTGAAGTAGGGACAATATAATAGTTATCCCCATTTACAGAAAATGTAATGAAGTTAGGTAGGATAAGCACCTTACTTAGGGTGGGGATTTAGCTCAGTGGCTCCACACCTGCCTCGAAAGCGCAAGGTCCTGAGTTTGAGTGGTACCCCCCCCCAAAAAAAGCTTACCTAAAGGGATACAGGTAAAAGTGGCAGAGGTGAACTCCAGTCTAGAATGGGCATCATTTAGAGGATGTTTCCCAAAAGCCACTGCACAAGCTGTGTTCTTATTGGCTAAAAGAAGTCACTTGGGGCCGTGTTACAGGAGCACAGATCCAGTATTTCCGAAACAGATCTGGGATGAGGCCCAGACATCTGAATTTTATAAACGCTCCTTGCTAACTCTTACATGTGGCCAAGCACAGCCATAGCTCACCATCTGAGGGGGATTCATTCTAAG